GCAGGCAGAGGACAAAGTTAAAAAGACAGACAGAGGGAGGAGAGTGTGTGAGGCCAATTGCCAGGGTCTGTCTGGGGTCTGGTACCCGAGCGCTGGGGAAGCCCGTCCAGCGGGCAGCCCGCCCTTCCCTGCCATTTCCCGGGCTTATAGTGAGCCCCGCGGGAGGCTGCGACCTCACAGCCTCCACTCATTCACTGGGCTTAGGAAGCCTCTGGACTCACTCGTGGTGCCCTCTGCCCATCAGCTCTACGGGAGAGGGGCGGGAACCCCTGGCACACTCAAGTGAGTTGGGAGAAAGGGGCCGAGGGAATGTGAGACACCCCAGAGGAGCTTCAGGGCTCGGCAGATGAGCTCTCCCAGCACATGGTTTCCCTGCCGGCAGCCACCCCGCACTGGAAGAGGTAAATCTACTGTGATGAAAACCCGGGTTGTTTTGGACATGAAGAAAGATTCAGAAGGCTGGCGGGAGATGAAGGTCCAATCCTCTGTTTTCATAGATGAGCAGCCAGCAAGCCAAAAACTGTCCTGTTGCAAGGAGTGTGTTACCTTTCTGACTGTCCCCTGCCTGCGCCCATTCTCTCGCCCTGAGCCCACCAGCCCACTGAGCTGCAAAAGGGGAAGGGGACGCATTGCTAATCTAAGCCAGCTCCGCATGAGGCTCTAGAACCCTGCCCGCCAGAGCTAGCATCGGCATCTTCACTTGTGGGTGAGGCACCTGTGACTAGAAGGCTGTTCAGTGTGCCAAAGGTCAGAAGAAAGGGGCAGCTGGGCTCCCAGACACTTATGTGTGGGTGTTCCCCGTCTTCTCAGCAGGGTCCCCCGGTGCTCGGGTAGATGAGCCTGAGTTCCTCAGCCCAAAACGTGGCCATAGGTTTATGAATGATTTTGCAGGGATTTTTTTTTAAATATTAGCAAGAATTCCTTAAGGCAGACACTCTATGTTACTACTATTAGTGTAAAGTGATTTATATTTTGGGATGAAGAAAATTTACATATATTTATCAAGAGTTAAAAATTATTAATCCATAGAGATTTCTTTCCTCTTGACTACTCTGCCCCTTCTCTCTCCACATTTGGCAAGGATCTTGAACAAGAAGCAAGGCAGTGTATCAGCCAGGGTCCTCCAGAGAAATAGAACCAATGGGAGAGATAGAGACACAGAGAGATCTAGAGATATGGATGGATGGATGGATTGAAAAAGATACAGAGGGTCTAAGGAATTGGTTCACATACTTGTGAATGTTGGCAGGTCTGCAATCCATAGAGCAGATCAGCAGGTGAGAAATGCAGGAAGAATTTCTGTGTTAAACTCCTGAGGCTGAGTTCCTTCTCTCTGTCTGTCTCTCTGTATTTTTATTCTGTATTTATTTTATATTTTTCCATATTTTAATCAATGCATTATAATTATGAATAATGGTGGGCTTCGTTGTTTCATACATGTGTGTGCAAATGATATAACATTATACTTTTTTCCATGAAAGCTCAGTATTTGTCTTATCCCTTTAGCTAACTGACAGCCTTATCAAGGGTAATCTTTCCTTAAAGTAGTTGTAGATGTTCTTTGCACCTACAAAGTATCTTCCCTGTGACATCTAGGCTAATGTTTGGCTAACACCAGACACAGTACCCTAGTCCAGTGGACATATAAAACGAACTATCGTAAGCAGCAGTTGTGAGTTCTGTGCTCTGTTCGGGCTGGGCTTGGCCCCAGGCACTGCCACATACACTCTGCTATTCCTCATCAACATGCTCTACACGTGCACAAACTCTGGGACCCAGATTGGTTACAGTGACTTGCCCAGGAGGCCATCTCTGATAGAGTCAAACCTGGCTTCCAGGATTTTCTGATTACCACTCCACAAGACTGCCTTCCAAAAGCTTCAGTGTGAAGAATTTAGATTCAGCAATAGAAGATAGAAGTGTCACTCAGCTTATCAGGACTGGACCTGGAACTCAGGTCTCCTGGCTCCCAAGCCCGCCTTCTTGCACACCATAGCGCCCCCTGGCTTCCAGAAAATTCACAGTCCCTGCAGACTAATGCTGGCAGCACATTGTTCACCCCAGGCCAGCAGGTCCCAGCCGAGGCAGGATGTTCCAACTGTGCATGCTGCAGAGGGACCCCAGCTGTCGTTACCTCCTCAATAAACAGATGTGCTCAGAGTCTGGGCCCTGCAGCCACTTTATTGCTGAGACAGCCTCATAATGAGATACTTTCAGGGCGTCAATATCGAAACCTCTTTGAATGGAGCCTGAAATGGACCTATCTGGTGACAAATCCATCTTTGTGGCAGTTTGCATTTCAGGGAGATTAAAAGGAATTTGCAGAAAGTCCTCCAGAATCTGATGCTGTCCATGCAGAGGGAAATAAGGCTGGCGAGGGCTCCATCTGTAAGGCCTGCTGCTCTCCAGGTCTATTTACTCTGGATATTGCAGAATATCGATTAGGGTTGTTTCATTGCAAGGAACAGAAACCAATGCAAGGTAGTTTAATTAAAATAAAAAGAAGTTAAAGGAAAAGAAACAAAAAATTGGGTGGTACATCTTATGGAATCAAAGTAGGATTTGGAAAAACAATACAGAAGCATGAAATTAACCAGGGCAGTTCTAGGCCTCTGCAGAAGAAGTTCCAAAGCCCTCAGTGCCCTGACAGAGCGCAAGTCGGCTGTAAAGTTTCTCAGTTTCTATTTCTGTGTATATTTCCAAGGGTGAGAACTAGACTCATTCAGCTTGTGTCATGTGTCTACCCCTAAACAGCCTGCCCTGGCCAGGGGTGTAGGGATCCAGGCAGAGCTCTGTGAGTTGTTCCTAAGTGTACTGGCCACAATAAAAGGGTCAATTATTTTTTTTAATCAGGACACTCCCAAAATGGCTGCTGGAATAACTGTGAATGTAATATTAATTATTTGAGGCTTACATGGGTAGAAGACCTGGTATTTAGAGATCTCTGTGCCTATGGTATGCATGTGTGCATATATTTTTCCCTAATGAACCCCTTTATAATTCAGCCCTCTCAGTCTCCAACTCAGTTTCCGTTGCATCATATCTTAAAATCACCAGCTGCAGATGCAATCTTGTGCCCCAATTTAGAGATACTTATCCTCAGGCTTTTAACATATTAAGTCATTTAGACAAGATGCAAACACCACCCCAGCTGAGGACAGCTGTTTGTTACCCTGTATCTCTAAGGACCAAGCACATAGTAGGTGCTCAGTATTTGCTAAATGAGTAGCAACCATCCACCAATATAGGGACACTTTCTTCCATGCCCTGAGGTCCCAGGGGCTTTGCCATCTTGACCCAAGAATATAATTTTTTTTGACTCATGTCCCATCCTTACCACCTGGACTCAGTAGGTAAGGTCCACATTTCCTAGGGAACAGGTAAAGGGCCACAGCTCTGCCATATGTAGTATAAGTTGGATATAAAAGAGATGCTGCCTTGACCCTAGATGCCCCGTCATGGAGGAGGGAATCGTGAGTGTTTGAAAACTGACATCATTGTTCAGACAGACAAAGCAAGCCAGGACAGGCTGACTCACAACTCTGGCCCTCACACTGGCTAAGTATAGCTCACCCCCATTCTCTCTCACTGCCATCCTTACAGATCTCCTCTGAAATAGTAACATGAGGACTCTACATCACCTGGTGTAGAGTTGACTACAGCATAAGAATAAAAAATGAACTAGAAATGACATTCCAAGGGTTCCACATGAGCCTCCAGTTCATCTCTCCAGCTACCTCTTCTCCAAAGGGAGCTGGTAAGAACCTTAACCCAGAGTGGCTTCAGAAGACATTCTGACCTGGTCCACATTCCCCCTCATTGTTCCTTGACACCAAGCCTGGCCAATGTCCTTCTTGGTCTGTGTTTCTGTTCTGTGCCACACTGAACTGGGGCAGCGTAATTACTGATAGTAGGACTAGTCTTTGCAGATCAGCCTTAGTCCCTGTTCATACAAAGGCTCAAAGTTTTGTTCAGTGGCGTGACCTTAGTAATACAGCAATAAGCTCTTATAGGCTACGGGGAGGGAGGGTGCTTCTTCCGGTATTTTTCAAAATGTCTTCGAGTACTTATTATTTCCCCAAGGGAGGCTGCTTGCTCTCTTCTGGTGATTAACACAGTGATAATGGCATTGAGACTCAGAAGTCAGTGGTCTGAGCAGGAAAGTGGAATGACGTACCACATTCGTAGCCAACAGAGATCATAAAGATCAAGGTAGGGAGTAATGACAGTCTCCATGCCTGCCCTGCACCTGGTGTGCCAAGCAGTGTCGTCACCTTGCTCACAGGACCTCCAGGAGGCAGACACTATTGCCACCATTCTGGAGGAACCCAAGGTAGGGAAAAGCTAAATGACTTGGCCAGGATGGCAAGACTCATTAAGTGGCATTACCAGGATTCAAATCCAGTCTGTGCTCACTCAAAGCATCATGCCGGGTGGCCCTCCCTGAGCTGCGGTTCCCTTTCCAAGGATGGCCGCAGAGCTGGAGAAGAGCAGACAAATCCAGAGGTCAGGAGCATCTCCAGGCAGCAGAGCCGAAGGCTGGGTGTGAGGCAGGAGCTAATGAGAGATTGCAGAACTCTCCCCCGGCACACGGCGGACCAGAGCTCTGACATGCCTGGCTGGGTGCTGGCTGTTTAGGGACAGTCGGGGTCCGGGGGCACAAGTCTGGCTCCTTTCAAGACTCAGGGTCCAGACTGTTCTTCTGGTTGAGAAATCACAGGCTGGTAAATCTCTTGCCAGGTTTGTGGCCACCTGCTCTTTGGTGGCCAGTGGGAGGAGGGGTAGAAAGTCCTGTGAGCCCTTCTGCTGCTCCTGACTCTGGAAGGAGCACCCCACAAGTGTGCAGGAGGCTGCCCCAGGCCTTCCTCTTGGGTTCCCTGTGCAGCATTTGGGAAGCTGCCCAGCCTCTCTGGACCATTCACCACCAACCCTCACAAGGGAAGGACTTTGGCCTGGAATCACAGACACCCGCTCTTTCTCTGCCCACCCCCTCTTTCCAGGAAGTCTGTCATCCAGCTTGACCTCGCCAATACCAAGAAAGCGATGATTGTCCCCGCCTTTGAGACACTGCGCTACCGGCTGTCTTTCCCCAAGTCCAAAGCAGAGTTGCTGTCAATGCTGGACATGGGGACCCTCTTCACATTCAGGTAAGTGGCCCTCACTGCTATCCTCTGGGGTGCCTAAAGGACTTCTTTCCTGGGAAACCCAGACACCAAAGCTGTTAACCCAGAAGTTGGTGGGGGTAATATGCATTGGTCCATTGGAAGGCAAAAATAAAGCCAGTGTCCTTGCAACCCCCCACCCTGGCCAATGCACATAGTTTGCATTGTACATGGACGACAGGTGTGTGTCTAGGTGGACGGGCATGTTTAGGTCAGAAGGCCAGTCATGCTTCTTTTCATGTTTTTCTAAACTGACCTCAGACCCCTTCTCCATCTCCTGACCTGAATTCTCCTTGGGGCATTCCCTCTCTGGGTAAACGGTTTCATTCTGTGAGCAGCCTGGGTGTTCCCTTTTTCTTTTTGGTGTGAGTGGTCTGTTTTCTAAGCCCTTTGGGACTGCGATGAGCAGTAGTTACTTCAACTGAAAGTCACCGAGGTGACACCAGAGTTGCACAGACCCCCTTCAGGAGCTGACTTTCCTGCTGCCCAAGTGACAGCTGCAAACAAAACCCTCATTTCCTAGGACCTATGTCCTGCAGGGACCTGGCAGGGAGCTACCCTGCTTCACATCCAGAAGGCCCCAGGAGACTCGGCAACTGCACAGGTGCAAATGGGTTCTGGCTCTGGAGCACAGGCCTGGGCAGCATGATGTGTGGCAGTGGGGGACAGGGGAGTAGGAGTCCCGCTGGGTCTCTTGATTGAGCAGTCAGAGGAGAGCTGTGCTTCAGCCTGCTTTCTGTTAAAGTGAATCCTCGAAACAATGTAGGAATGGTCAGCACTTCCTTGGAGTTCAAAAGCATACAGCTCTAGGCAGTCTGAATTGTCGTGCAAAGACTGTAGTCATAGCAACTTAGGTTTTCATCTCATACAGCTTCTAGAAGTTTCTAAAGGTTTCCTCCAACTATTTTGTGAAAATAACTCCATCAAGTAGGATGTCCATTCAGCAGTTTAGAAATTACCGGTTTTGTACGTTTTATGGAATGGAGAGGCCCTGGAGGTACCAGGACCCCACCCCATCCTTTGTCCTCCATCCAGAATTCTAGAAAACAACCTAGAAGGGCTAATTCCCCCCAAACCACTGCTTTCCAGAAATTATACCAACTGCCATTTGTTGAGTGCTTTGCATGAACCGGGCTCTGTGATCAGCCCATTTAATCCTCAGAACAAACCCGAGGTAGATACCGGAAAGAAACAAATAGACCCTGAGGTTCTGAGAGGTCAAATAATTTGCCCATTGAAAAGCAGCCAGGAAATGTCAGAGCCAGGATTCAGCCCGGCCTGAGGGACCACTGAACCTGTGCTCTTCACTGACCCAGCACCGGGCTGCTGAGTCCTGACTGCTCACACAAAGCCACGTTTGAAGCTGCAGAGTAAAAACCTACTCCTGGAAATTCGAGACCAAGCCTTCATCTGAGGCCCCTGCAGTTGCCATAACCTGGTGGCTGAACACCTGGCAAGTTTCCAAGATGTTCTTCCTTCCATCTCCAACCCCAGGTGCTTTGAGAAATCATTTCAAAGCCATGTCCGTGGGCGTGAGAGCTGGGGTCCGGCCTGCTGTGTCCGTGATTACTGCTCCCGCTAACAGCTTGCAAGCCACCATGCCAAGTGCTAAATTACAGACCTTCCCTCCGAGAGATTACTTTTGTCACCTGCTCTCCAAGTAATGAACACTTAAGCCTCTGAGCAGCTGAAAGCAACTCCCGGCCATACCTGGACACCCCTCCACGTCCTCTTGGGGTGTGGCTCTCGGAGCAAGGACCCTGGGAAAGTAGCATCTCATCGCCTGGGTCCTTGTTAGAAATGCAGAGTCTCAAGCTCCAGCCAGAAGTCCAGAATCAAAAACCCTGGAACTGGAACTGACCTTCCCCGTGTCTCTGACGTGTACCTGAGCTTCAGAACCTCTGCTCAAAGTGTCCCAAATCGCTTTCAACAGCGTCCTGTGAGGTGTAGCCAGGAAACAGCCATCTGAGCCCTGTTCTGGAGGCTACCTGATGTGGCTGGTCCCCGTCCCAGCCATGCCCTGAAGTCCAGTGTCTGTTGGACTGACAGCAGGTTCCTGGGGGCAGTTTTCAAGCTGTCGCTTGCTTTAATGGCAGGTTAATTGTAACGTCCCTGCATCCTGTTCGGCCCAGCCTTTCAGCAAGCTGTCAGCATTCCAGACTGAGCAGCTTCTCTCTGCTCAGCCAGACGAAGGGAACTGACCCATCCCTGCCCTTCCCGTCTCTCTTTTGTGTATTGTAATAATCCCAGAATTTAGATTTGAAAGATGGAGAACAAACAAAACGTTCATCAGTACACTGACAACACAGACAGCGAGACCACTGTGGACTGACATCCTATTCAGGAGGCGAATGAGGAAAAATAATGAGAATGTTCTCAGTTTTCAAGGAATCACCACGCATCAGACACTGCCCTTTGCACTTTATGTGAATTAATTCACTTAATCACCAGGGATTATGATTTCCTTGTTTACCAAGACAAGGCAACAAAGGTGCCGGGGAGTTATCCTGTGGACACCTGCTGAATGACAGAATGCACACCCACGACCAGCATTCTAAACCATTTTGTTAAACTGCCTTTAGGGACCTAGTATATTTTGAATGTCTCTGGCCAGCTCTCTGCCAAGTTCTTCCCATCATCTCAATTCAACAAGATAGGTGTTGTTTACCCCAGCTGACACAAGAAGAAACCAAAGCCTAGCTAAAGTATTTTGTTATGCAAGATCCTCAGCTCCTGAGTGGTAGAGGTGGGATTTGAACCTTGGCCCAAAGACTCAACTGTGCTGTGTTTGGAACCTATAGGCTCCTGGCGGTCACCCATGCTGGGCAGATTCTGTCGAAGGCACTAAGTGTCAAGAGTAGCTGTTCCAAAAAAATGACAAGTAGAAAATCAGCTATTTGTGGGTGTAGTTTTTGGCTGAGGCTCGTGATTGACAGCTGTCACAATATTCTTTTTCACACTCCACTAAAGTAGCATTACTCAGCCTTTTTCCAGTTAAGTGACTGGTTTTGGTGGACAACGCTGCAGTGATCGGGCTGGGGGTCAAGGCCCTGCCTTCCCCAGCCTGCCTGTCTCATCCAGCAGCACATCTTATGAAAACCCACCTATTGGTCAGTGCCCATTCAGCCACACTGAGGGTTGGATGACAGTACAGTGTCAGTAAGGGACGAGCAAATGAAGGGAGCAGTCGCGTTCTGTCATTAGAGCACGCCCTGCCACCCTCAGCCTGTACAGAGCCTTCCCTAAGGAGATGACACCCAGCACTTCCTGTTCCTTTCTCCTGCAGCTCCTCTGTCAGGTTCCCACCCTCCATTCTGTCTCCCCTGCAACCGCCAGAGCTATGTGTGGAGTGTTCCTATCCCACTCCACACTCCTGTCTTGTGTACCCCACGAGTTTTAGGTTCCTCACTTGTTCACTCCATTATTCAATTTGAGTGCAACCATTGAGTGCTTGTTCCATTGTCCAGAGAACGCAGGGAATGGTGACGTACAAAGACTGTTTTCCAAAAGTGGGTCAGAGTGCTAGTCTTGAGCTTGAATCCCAGCTCCACCACTGTACAATTTATAACCTGATGTTGGGTAAGTTGTAAGAATTAAAAATCTGTATGGGCCAGGTGCAGCAATACATGCCTGTAATCCCAGTGGCTCAGAGCTATAGAGGAGGATTACAAGTTCAAGGCCAGCCTCAGCAACTTAGTGAGGCTCTAAGCACTTATCAAGAACCTGTCTCAATTTTAAAAATGAAAAAAAAATGGAGGGGTGCTAGGGATGTGTCTCAGTGGTTAAGCACCTCTGGGTTCGATTCCTGGTACAAAACAAAAATAAAAACAAAAAATACACACACACACACACATACACACACACACACACGCTACGTGCATGTTTTTAAAAATAGTTCTAATACATAGGGTTAATAAATACTAGCTTCTTGCCATTGTTATATGGTGATATTCATTTTCTATGCTGTAGAACAAAGCACCACAAATATAGCAGCTTAAAACAGTGGAGTCTGTGGTCCAGACCCAGAGAGTTGGCAAAGCCACAGTTCTCCAGCCCACATGCTGCCCTTCCCAGCCCTGGGGCTGCTGGTGCAATTCCTTCCCTTGTGTGCAGGCTGAGGTCCCTGTGCTTCTGCTAGCTGCTGGCCCGTCACCCCTCTCAGCTCCTGGAATCTAGTCCTCTGTCCTGTGGCCCCATAGAACCCTCTGCTCTCAGAGGGCTCCTCCTTCTACATCAAGACCTGAAGGTTCATGTGATCTAGTCAGACCCACCTCCATAACCTCCTGTTTAATTAATCCAGGGCCACCCAATTAATAACCTTAACTATGTCTACAAAACTCCCTTTTGCTGTATAATATAATAATCACAGGAGTGGTGTCCTACTCATAGGTTATGCCCCAGAGAGTCACCAGTAGGAATAATTGCAGTTGTCAACGAGAGCAACCTGTAGTTGGTTCCACAGAAATGACAGAGCTCCCAGGAGCTCACTAACCTTTTCACAGGGAACATCTCATTATTGAAGGATGTGGACAACCAATGGTATCAGTCTCCTGGGGCTGCTATGACAAAATCCTTAAAACTAGGTGGCTTCACATGACAGAAATTTGTTTTCCCACAATTCTAGAAACCAAAAGACCAAAGTCAAAGTATCTACAGGTTCATGTTTTTCCCAAAGGCTCTAGGGAAGACCCCTTCCTTGCTTCTCTCTGCTTCCTTCCGGTGGTTGTGGGCAGTCCTTGACACCCCTTCATCTGCAGACAGGTCCCTCAGTCTAATCTCTACCTCCATCTTCCCATAGTAGAGTTCCAGAGTGTGTTCCAGAGTGTGTCTGAGTCCAGATTTTCCTCTTCTTATAAGGACACCAGCCATTGGATTAAGGTGGGCCCTAATCTTGACCTCATCCTGACTTGACTATATCTGCAGAGAACCTATTTCCAAGTAGGTCACATTTCCAGGCCCTGGGTCAGGATGTGAGCATGGTTCTGCAGGGATGCAGCAGCCCACCTATTAGTATCTCTTCTTCCCTCAAATCAGCCAGCTCTGGAAAGGCCTCTTCCTTCCCTTCACCAAGGGCTTTCCTCTGTGTGCCCAGGTACCACGTCTGGACAAAAGGCCACGCACCCACAAACTTTGCCAAGTGGCGGACCGCCACCACGCCTTACCGGGTTGAGTGGGAGGCTGACTTCGAGCCGTACGTGGTGGTGCGACAGGACTGCCCTGAGTATGACCGGAGGTTTGTGGGCTTCGGCTGGAACAAAGTGGCTCACATCATGGAACTGGATGCACAGGTGAGAACAGCGTCCACAGGTGCTGGGGCTGGGGACAGAGGCTTGGATCTCACAGCTGAAGGGTGACCTGGGGAGAGAAAACAGGGTCTGAAGAGGGAGCAAGATGTGTTCAGGACCCAGAGTGAGAACCTGGCAGTGCTGGTCCTCAGGCTGTGGTTCTCAAGCCATTGCTTTCTTCCACCCTTGTACGAGAGTCAGATTCCTGATACTGCTCAGCACTCAGCCTCTGAGTTGCAGAAGGGACACAGAGAATCCTAAGGGTTCCATGTATTTGGCACTAAGCTCACCACAGGCACGGCTCACCTTTAACTAAAAGAGTGGTGATTTTTAGGCAACATTTAGTCTTTTTAAAAATATTTTTAAAAACTTTTTTAGTGGCAGCCACATCAGTGTATATAGCAGCTCAATTTACAGTAGCTAAACTATGTAACCACCCTAGGTGTCCTTCGATAGATGAATGGATAAAGAAAATGTGGTACATACATTCAATGGAATATTACTCAGTTTTAAAGAAGAATGAAATCATGGCATTCACTGGTAAATGGATGGCGCTGGACAATATCATGCTAAGCAAAATAAGCCCATCCCCAAAAACCAAAGGCTGAATATTTTCTCTAAATATGGATGCTAATTCGGAGTAAGGAGGATGGCACTAAAGAAGAATACAGTTACTTTAGATTAGGTAGAAAGAAATGAAGGGAGGGGATGTGGGGATAGGAAGGACAGTAGAATGAAACAGACATCATTACTCTATGCATATATGTGACTGCATGACCAATGTGATTCTGCAACATGTCACTCAGAAAAATGAGAAATTATATCCCTTCTATGTATGATATATCAAAGTGCATACATGCCTTCTATTGACATGTATAACTAATTAAAACATTTTAAAATTCTAAAAATATTTAAAAAATGGAAAGCAAAAAAAAAAATTCTTTAGTTGTAGTTGGACACAATACCTTTAATTAATCAATTAATTTATTTCTGTGTGTGCTGAGGATCAAACCCGGGGTCCCACACATGCCAGGCAAACGGTCTACCACTGAGCCCCAGCCCCAGCCCTAGTTTTGAAACCCTTCATTTATTCAGCTAATGCTCACTGAGCACCTGCTTCAAAAGAAGTCTTTTGCAAATTTTAATAAACAAGAAACAAGGGTTCTGCACAGGGCCAGAGAGTAAATATTTCGGGGCTTTGTCCCCTTTGCTACTGCTCAGCTCTGCCACAGGAGTTCAGTTGTGGATGGTCTCTAGACAAAGGGGCGAGGCTGCGTTAGCACAACCTGTAAATGTGAGAAAGCCAGCAACAACCAGGAGCTCTGGTCGAGTCAGGAGAGGATGCCTGAGTGTCCCAGCCCCCATCTTTTCTCTCTGTGCAGTTCCCCAGGGTAACTATTCCTTAGCAAGACCATCCCAGATTTGGGAAAAGTACAGATTGGATGCTCCGTGTTGGCCCTCCATGAGCTTCACCATGGGGACTTCGCAATGGTTCCACTGTGTTTAAGAGCAGTCCCAGGTGACTGAGAACCACTGGGCCTGAGAACCGCTGATGTCAGAAGAAAGTGCTAGAACAGCATCCGTATTGCACGACAGAAAGCTGTTTTCATAGCACCCGATGGGAGCCCAGAGCTGCCCGCGGGCTGCAACGTGGTGTCAGCCTCAACTGGTGCTTGAAAGAATGGTGGTCTAGCGTCCAGCCAGGTCGTGAGGTGAACCGGTTCAAAGAAAGCTCATCTTGCGGTACTTTGTTTCTGCAGCTTAGCAGAATAGTGTTAAACATTCTCCTTCCTTTGCCGGGAACACATCAGACACGATTTTACCCTTTCCGTGACTTAATGGGGGCACACCTGACAGGTCACAGAGCTGCGCCCAGGGGGCTATCGGTCCTCTCAGGGCGCTCCGTCCCTGTGCCCCAGACACAGCCGGGCTGGGCGAGTTCTCGCGTTTTCTCTTCGCGGTTTCTTCCACCCCTTCCTTGCTCGGCTGTCAGTGTTGCTGCCTCGGTGTTCCACCTGGGATGGGTGCCGTCCCCTGTCCCCAGTTGACCTCTCTGGGTTTATCCTCCTCTGCTCTGAGCTGGGGAAACAGATGACCAGGACCAGGAGTAAGAGGCGTGCTGCGTTCCCTGGGAGTTACGTGTCCTAAATTTGTGTCACCAATTTTGGCTCTTTGGAGGCAGGCCTTTTATTTTTGGACTAAGTTTTTATCTGGGTTCTGCCAGGTCGAGGACACTCTGTAACGACAGGGCTCGTAGGAAGGAAGAGTCGGGGACAGCTTTGTCCTTGAAAAGCTTCAGTCCTGTGCCGTGTTTGTTTTTATTTCTTCTTTTTTTTTATGTCCCCTCTTTTGAGCTGAGCTGTGGATGTCAGTCGTTGGGACAAGAGACCGTCCCATTTTGCCTCATCCTAGAGCGACCACGTGGGTGTGCGCTCACGTCTGTCAGGGCCTTTGAGGGTCCTGGGGGCCAGCTCAGCGCTGTCCCTACAGTGGTGCATCCAGGCAGATGTTATTACTTCCACCTTGATGATGAGCAGCCCAAGGCTCAGATCGGCCGCCTCCTGTCCCCCAGGTGGTTGATGAACTCGGCGTCACCCTCTGCCCTTCTCTTTCTCTCCAGGAATATGAGTTCATCGTGCTGCCCAATGCCTACATGATCCACATGCCCCACGCCCCCAGCTTCGACATCACCAAGTTCCGTTCCAACAAGCAATACCGCATCTGTCTCAAAACCCTGAAGGAAGAGTTTCAGCAGGACATGTCCCGCCGCTATGGCTTTGCCGCCCTGAAATATCTCACGGCCGAGAACAACAGCTAGCACCGAGAGGCCACCGCTAGGGAGAGACACCACAGGGGACGAGCCACTGGCTGTTTGGGGCCCAGCCTTCAAAGTCAAAATTGAGCTTTTTGGGGTTTCGTTTTTTTTGTCCCTTTGGCCCTGCCGAGCTGCTCTCCCTGCAGAGATCTTGACAGGGACGCAGCCAGCTGCAGAGAGTTTGGCATTCCCAGGGCGTAGAATTCTCAGGCCTGGCAACACAAGTCTCCTCAAGAAGGGACCTAGAGGGGAGAGCGAGGAAGGGGTTATCATCTTATCACAAAGCCACAAACCAAGTCAGGGCTTCCAGATATTCTTATGGCTTTTTAATAGTCATGGGTCCCCTCGTAGCTGGAGGTGGGGAGTCAGAGTGCTGGGGATTACTCATCCCGGGAAATAAGAGCACGTCATCTCGTCCTTCAGAGGAGACCTTCCTTACCCTGCAGCGTAGTTCGGCACCCAAGGGGAGGGGTAACCAAGGACTGGAGCTAGCCATTGGGAAGAACGCCATGGGGACACCGGATACGGAGGGGCCTGGAGTTGGGCTGGTCGATTCTTTATCCTCAAAGTCACTCTTGTTTTCTTTTGATTTGCTTTAGTTTGGGGGATTAAGTTTATTTTTGGTCCCGGAATCCAAACTAGAAAATCTGGTCCTCTCAGGCTCTAAAGGAAAGTCAACTGCCTCAACCAACGTCCCCTGTCAGCAGTGGCCCAATGAGGAGGACAGGAATCTCCAGCAACTATTCAGACCTGGGTAGCTGGCGCTCCTCACCCGAGGGCCCCCTCTCCAGGACCCAGGGCTGCAACGGGGACTGCAGAGACACAGCTCCTGGCGTGCAGTCACGTTTCTTTGGGCAGCGGCTGGGTCACGAGGAAAGGGCTTTGAAGGAACCGTTTCCGTGCACACAGAAGGGACAACCCTCTCAGGCCTTCAGAAGAACTCGAGGCATTCCCGGGTGCCCGATTCTGAAGACTCGTGTGACCCTGGGGGAGGCCCCCGGGAAAAGGATGGAGCTGGGGTTCCTCTGTTCTTGCCCTCTTCCCTGTGGAGGGGAAGAGGTGGCGACCTGAGTCTCCCCTGGGGACCTGTCCAGGGGGGCAGGCACCTTCACCGTTCCACAGATCGAGGAGACACTGGACTTTTTACCCGTTTTCTTTACTCTTCAGTATTAATGTTGTGTTTACACTGATGAGAACACACGAGTGGACGCCCTGCCCTGCGCTGGGCTGTTTGTATGGCCTTGCCATGTGACCAGGGAAAGCAGCACTCAATAAAGGAAAGTACTGACTGTTTCTCCCCCGCTCCCTCCGCTCCTGTAGGAAGCTGCAGAGACACCCCCACAGGGTGAGCTCGAAAGGCAGCTTGAACTTCAGCCTTTCTTTTCTCTCCTTGCCTGAGGTTAGGTCTCACTTTACCCTCTAACCCTCAAGCCATTTCCAAACTCTCCATTTAGCTTCTGTTCTCACCACAGAAGTCTGGGGTTTTATTGCACCCCATGTGCAAATCGTGGGAATCACTAGAAAAACGAACTTCATGGGTCCCATGGTCCTGCCAGTCACACATCCCTGATTTTGAGACCACTGCCTGTGTTACCTGCTCAGGTGGAGGTGAACCTGAGCCTTCGAGCAGAAATGGGAAAACTTCAGTTAGGACTAATTCTCACACAGTTGTGGATAAATCTACATCTGTGTGTAGATACAGATAGAGAGTGAGAAACAGCATTCACGATTACAGAAGTAATCCATGCGCACTGTGAAGAGTCAGACAGTACCCAAAAGCATTCAAAACACATTCAAGTCCAAGTTCTTTGGTGATGTGCTGGGGAGAGCCCCTGAAGGCCACAAGGATGTCTGTGTGCTTCTCTCTCCACTTCACTTCTTGGTGATCTCCCCCACCAAGTGCTGCTGGAGAAATATTCATAAGCAGCACCCACTGCCTCTTGCCTTCTCCTGTATGTGCGCACACACACACACACACACACACACACACACACACACACTTCTCTTCCTTCCCTAGAGAGGCCCATGTGAGCAGATATACTTTGAATTAATCATTACCAGCTACTTGAGCCAAGTTGAAAATCAGTTGGTCATGCCAGTTCCTCGGTGTTAAAAATCAATTTTTAATTCCCTAAAGCTTTTTTTTTTTAAATTTGTCCTGGCACTTGAATCATGCTCGGCCACCTTGCTTTCGCTTGCATTTTTATGGGCATAGCTAGTGACCATAAAATTTGTCCTCCAAACTGGGTCACTTCTAAGAACGAAAGAAGGTGCTAATTACTTTGAGATGATGGGTATAAATGGAGAGATGAGGAAGCCTCGTTCACACGGAATGTACTAGAAGCAGAAAATGACACTCCCCACCAACAGGAGAAAATCTCATTTCCTCCAAAGAAAGACAGGTGCCTGATGCTATAAACCAATCCCAGTGACTGGAGTTCAGACGTTGGCTGGTGTGTAGGTTCACGTGGAGGCCGCCAGAGGTCTGCGGAGCCAACCACACGAATTCCCAGAACTTGCAGTGGGAGCAGTCACTCTGCCAGCTCCAGCTCATGTGTGGGGGACAGCCACCATTTGGGCAGAGGATGCTATTCCTTGGTATCAGTTCCCTGGGGTAAAACAAACAGGATCACAATCCTGTCTTGGCTTTCTGCTGAGAGGAAGAACAGGGCTGTCTCTTTAACCCTTATCATGGTCACTGTCCAGAATCAACCATTACGTGCACGATCTTGTATCCTTAGCTCATCGGGCCCTGGGAGCAGATGCAAAGTGGATATGATTGTTTATCCAGGAGGAAACTTGAGTGTGCTCTGTGAAACTGACCTCCCCAAACTCACATAGCCACTAGATGACGAGAATCGAAACCCATCCCTACTTGTTCGAAAGCCAAAGCCACATAACCTGTGATGCTCCTCCCTCCCCAGTGAGAAGGACGCAGATAGGAAACGGGCAGACTAGAGTGTCTGAACTCTCGGAGGCCAATGGCTGGATTTCTAGGCTTCATCCGGTGCAGTTGACTAATAGTTTCTTTGTGCCGCACTGTGGAAGGACAATCCCAACCTTAACACTGTTCCTTTCAAAGATCTACTGTCTTTGAGTTGAGGCCTCATTTGTGGTCACCAGGCCCTTAGGGAGCTCTGTGTCAGTGGAAGGAACGTGATTAAAATCCCGTCTCAGACACACACAGCCTGTGTGTACTCTTGGTATGCATAGTAGGATCTCATTTATTCAGCCAAGACTTGTATGGTAGCTACCACTATGGGATCCTCGTGGCCATGTTATAAGAAAGGTTTGCTTTTCCCTCTTATTTATCTAGTAGAGCTGGCTATCAGAGAAATTATGTGACTTGCCCAAGGCCACACAGATTATTCATGGCGGTGTTGGGATTATAACCCAATTCTGAATGGCTTCAAATCTCATGTCTCTCCACTTCTTTATGCTCCTACCTTCCCATATGATACTGCAATGAACTCAGCTACTGGGCTTAGACAGTCCTACCTTCATGGAGTGTGCGCATTATCCTCTTTAGAAAACAACTACAGGTTATTTTTCAGCTTAATGCCATTAAAATTTGTGAAATGTCATTTATTTACCAATTACCCCACCCCTCATTTCAAACTCCAAGAATCGGAAGTTGGGCCTACTACAGTCTTCATTTTCATTCATTAAACAAAACATTGTTCTGAGAAAGTGGCCTGAAATTTCAAGGAACAGCTGGTGACATCTTAGAATAGGCATTGGGGACTCCACAAAAAAGGTTGGGTTTCTGATTTTGAACAGATAATGGATTTGGTAATTGCTTTTTTTCTGGCATATTCAAATAGTCTTGAGAGACAGTGATTTCTGGGATGAAAGAATGTCAGTCAGCTGTGGGACAGTGTCTCTCAAGGTGTAGTACCAAGCCATCTGACCAGCAAGGCTGGGGTGATGTCATGACATGATTGGCAGGGCTCCCTCAGAGCCAACTCTTCACCCGTTTCCTGGATAAGACTCCATCTATCATGATGACAAAGAAAGAAAATAAGGGCTGCAGGGAGATCAGTAATTTCATTTTATTCTTTATCGTTGCTCACTAAATTCTCCAAATTGTTTATTGAGCATCTACTCAGTGACACACACTAAGAATACAAGGATGAACTAGGTAGAGTGTCCTTTTCATGTGTTGCACAACTGACTAGATGGTAGCAAAGCAAACATAACACTAAGGCAGTTTTCGCTTTATTACATCCACATAAATGTTAGTTTAGTTTTATTTTCATTTATCTATATAACTCTTCTGTGCATTTTCAAACTCATACAAAATTGCAAGAACAATACAGATGGCATTTGTACATCTTCCATTTAGACTGATCAATCGCTAACACTTTACCACATGTATCTCATGGCTCTTTGTGTGTAAATTATTTTCCCTGAAACACTTGAGAGTGAATCGTAGATGCTTGACACGTTCAAGTCTACAGGCTTTGGCACATATTTATTAAAGCCGCGGCCTTCTCTTATATACCCACAACAGAACCATTGAATTCGGGGACTTTAACATTGATACAGTACTGTCATCTCATGCTCAGTCGACCAACTTTGCCAACAGTCCTGAGAGTGTCTTGCTGGCAGCAACCTCCACCCAACCCAGCCACACGCTCCAGGGCCCGGATCCCATCCAAGATCACCTATCACCTTTAGTTGTGTCTAGTCTCTGATCGGGAACAATTACTTGTGTCATGTTTCATGCAAAGGTATTTTTGAAGGGGGAAGTCCAGTTGTTTTATTAGTTCATTGTTTTGAATGAAAAAATAGTGTTATGTACACAGGGCAATGCATAAAACTTTCACTGTCTCTAAACTCCTTGAGTTATGTTATGTGACAAAGTACTATGGCGGATGGTGTTAAGCAGTTCCAAAGGTTCGCCTGGATGTGCGAGCATTGCTGAGACAGCCTGATAAGCCGTTGGGACCCTGAGGCAAAGCTCACTGCCCAGGCACCTCTCTAATTCGCCTTATCAGCAGACAATGGAAGGGATCCTTTTCTACCCACTTAAAGATTTTATAGTGGCTTTTAGGTTCTGTTCATTAATTGAAATGCTCTTTGTGTTAAAGATGGGGGTTTATTACTTTGTGTGGATATAGATGTGGACCTTCATAGCTTTGTCTTTTTTCCCCATTTCTCAGATCTGCAAGGAAAAAAAGACAAAGCAGCATTGTGAGATTTCCTGACCTCTCCGACTTCACTCACAGGGCCTGGTGTATGAACATCAGGGCTTTGAATCTCCCATCTTTCCCCAGAGATGATTTAATATGTAGGTAGAAGGGAATGACTTGATTTATTTCTCATGACTATTGAGATCAACATTTAATATTTAAGCTGTTAGCAGATCACAAATATCTTTACCTAGGAGAGAAAAATTGCCTCCCTCCCCTCATTCCAACAGCCCTGCTGTAGGAGACCCAAGAGACCTCTTTGCGGTCACTGGCTTGTCAATCTGGCCTCAAGACAAAAAGCTCTGTCTCTGTTTTCGTGGTGGTCCACGAGGGCCATGCCAAGCTAAGCCAGCACTCTGGAATTCCACAATGCCGGGCCTGCCTACATCAGGGATGTGTCCCCCTGCCTGGTGTACCTTGAAGTCCACAAAAGCCAATTCTGAGCCTGAGTGTTTCATCAGCTGTGAGTTATCTGAACAAGACCCATGTCTAATCCAGCAGGAAGAAATTGAGGGAGGGCTCGTCTTTAATCCTGTTCTCCAACCACAGATCTGCTCCAGACGCTCTGATACCGCGCAGAGCTGCCTACATCTGGAGAGCACCTGCTACAGGCCGGTGTGCTTGATTTGTGGCTTCTGTCACTCACCGGAATCCCAGGAGTGGGGGGATTATTATTTTAATAGATGTGAAAACAGAGACTGAGTGAACCTGGGTAATCCGTGGAGCCACGAATCAGGCTGTTTTACTTACTGCAACGCCATCGTGTGCAGCTTTGGCAGATAAGGGTGACCCGAGTGTGGAAAATGGAGACAATGATCATAGGAAAAATCAGACGGGAGTCTGTCTGCTCGTCTCCTCCCTCACCCATCCTAGACTAAGCCAGAGCATCTGGTCCCTCCCTTGGAGACTCAGCCCTTGCACACCGCTGCTCCATGACAGCAGGAGCTCTGCTGGTTAACTCAGGCAGAGATGAGTGCCTAGGAGAGGAACAAACGTGAGCTGAAAAACAGGCGTTGTCGGTCTGCTCTGCCATAGAAAGAATGAGGAAGGCATTGTCTCCATGGCAAAGATAAGGATACAGAAGGTCAGAGAGCTTAG